GCAGGAAGGATTTACAGTATTAACCCACAGTGAAAATAAACAGGGAGCCTTTCAAGCCATATTATTACTCAATGGGAAAGCTCTGTCACTGGCAGGGCAGCTTTATGCTTTCTGCACGCTCGACCAACAAAAGAAAGAGAAATAAGGCCACAGCACGCACTAGACGAACAGAAGCCTTAATTCCTTCCAGGATTACTTGATGTTTTTAATACAATTTTCCTGTCCGTTCGAAGCGGAGTGACATACATAATATGTGGAGATAGAGCAGATTGAGCTTCGAGCTTAAAGCAATGTAATGAGGGGCATATAGGACGATTTTAACATTCTTGAGTAATTTACGTCTGAGCTCACCTTCTTTTCTTCTTGTTCGAGTTGGCTCTCTGCATCTGAGGCATCTCCTGAAAGAAAACAAAGCATTAAGGCTGTCTGTACTAAATGAGCAACTTGCCACATTCAACAAAATCCTCCAGCTGATTCATGTAGAGATTGACTGAAATTGAACATTTGGTCTCGCCTCAGAGGCAGCTGTCAACTGGCTCTGCTCATCATTTAATAATCAGCTTTATTTTTTTTTAGGTTCAATCTGGTTACATGTCACAGCTCCTCAAGGCCGTGACCCCATACAATCTGGTCATGATTGTTCACAAGCCCGCACCGCTGACAGTCTGTATAACGTGCTTCAATGTACGAGATTTTCATGACACACACCATGGATATAGATCTTCCAGAGCCTCGCCACTTTGTGCCATCATCCAGCAAGACTGCCGGGCTGCAGGAGCGGCTGCACGAGCGGCTGGAGGAGCGGCTTGGGACAGGCTGCGGTGGGCCGTCGCTGGAGCTCTGCACCGCCTCGTACAGGCTGTCCATAGATCCCTCCTGATGCCCAGTGGACAGACAAAAAGACACACAGTTGTTAGAGGGCTGCAGTTTGGCAATATGAAATTCATCTGTTTCCATCCATGTTTCCAGCACATAAATCTGCATTTCATTGTAATCAGATGCAAAATATGAAAATTCTAGTTATGAGGATTTGATATGACTGCAGGGAAATGTCACTAATGCTGCTCCAAAGCTCCTTTAAATTTGCTTGTCAACCATGGATGAGGGAATTTTGACAGAACTGATTTCAGCGTGGATTAAATTTTGTTTGATTCGTTGGGATTCCTTCTAGGAACGCATAACCAATTTCTCTCTCATCTTGACTGTACTGTGACGTCTCATCAGTGTACATGATAAAAGATAGCGATAGTATTGATTCTGTATTCTTTCTCTACTCAACCATTCCTGGTTAAACCAAACCACAAAATTCTTAATGAGTGGTCTGAGACAGAACTGGAGTCCTCCATCTTTTAGAAAATCAATCCCTGACTCATATGACTGCGGGCCAATAACAGGTCTTTACAGAGTACTCAAAATGTAAGATGTAGTGCAAAATGGTTTAAACAAAAAAGCTTCCAAATGAAGTGTAAGTTCCTGTATTTGCAGGGGAACAAGTGTGTATTTTGAGATGCTGCTGCTTTTTTGTGTTTGTTTTTTCTCTTTTCTAGATTTCTACCTCGGTTAACAGGCAGCACGAAAACTTGATGTATGTGTTATTTGAGCACAGTGGTTAAAAGGTGCGACATCCGTTAGAGATTCTAGGCAATGATGAATCAGTCTGATCATTTGTAAACATCCCCAACATCTGTGTAGAGACAAGTTTAAAGTATCAACCCACATGTCACATCCCCACGTGCAGCATGACAGCTGCAGGAGCATCTGAGGTACCCATGTGTATATTGTGCACACGTGTGTATTCCTGCTTCTTATCTTAACTTTTGTGGCTTCATTAATAAACACTTTTAACAGCACTTGTAGGCATAAAGAAATTAGACAGTAATACATAAACCAGGGCTTCAAAATACCTACTGTAATAAAAGAACTGCTGTGAAATGTTGCTTAAAACATTATGGTAAACAAAGCTTAAAGTTTTCAGACAAAGGAAGATAAGAAGACAATGTCGGGACTTGTCTAATGATCAAACTTTCTGCAGCCGGTTATCAATGATCTATTTACTGAGAAGACGTAGCAGCAAGCATTCTCATTAGATTAGTGCCGCGCTTTAGCATCATGTTTTGCTTATTTATAGGAAAACTGCAATTAAAAACCTAGATAGACACTCTGTAGCTTCCCACACATTTAGGTATGCATAGTGTGTTATTTATTGATCTTCACGATATATTTCTTGTGGCTAACCTCAGATTTGCAACTCAAGTTTCTCTTTTACTCTGCGACTCACACACAGACTGTTCTGTAAAGAAGACAAATGCATGCATCTTACCAGAGAAAAGCAGAAAAGGTTCATGTTGGCTGCGAAGTCTCGGGTTCAGTTTGCTTTGGTGCGTCAGATGGAGGACAAACAGCGAGCCGAGTGAAAGCCAGAGGCTGAAAGACACAACAGCTCAGTCTGAGGCCAGCCTCGGTCGCCTGCTGTCTTCTCAGATTAATACCACAGTGAAATCCCTCCACTAATCCAATAGATGGCCCACCATTACTCTAGCAGCTAAAGCAGGATTCACTCCTGACAACAAGCCCACTATTGGTGGATCAGCAGACTCTGTCTTTGTTTTGATTCTTTTCTTTTTTTTTTCCCCAGTAGGGAAGCAGCGAGCAGCCATGTTATTTATTTATTCTGACCTAATTACAAAAACAAAAATTTACAGGTAAATTTCCTCATTAAAGGTAACTTATGAAGACTTAAGACTAAAAAGTATTTTGCCTCAATAATATTATCAATCATAAATATTAAGCAATAATTATGAGGATCACTGGTTCAAGGTAAAATTAATCATTCCATTAAGAATAATTGACTAGAGATGACATTAGTTTTTGAGATCAATAATATATGAATGTATAAGCAGCGTTTTCATGCGTTTTATTGGAAAAGTGATTTTCTTATATCCACTTTACTCCAGCGGTGCACATTGTATAGATAGGACTGATCATAAAGGTCATGGTTTAAATCTGGGCACACTGAGCTGATTAACGGAGTGCAAGAATAAACATCTGGACCTGCCAGGGTAATCTTTAAAACATATATTAAAAAAAAAAAAAACATCCTGTGATTCTGAGGTAACACACAAAAACCCAGATTCAAGACTTTTTATTGTCATTATGCAAACTAAGGCATTAATCTCTGCCATGATGCAAGGTAAGTAGTGGAATTTCTTTACTTTCTGTCATCATCATCTATAGCTTTAAGTGCTAAGATGTGTTCCTCCTTACATCAGTGGGAATTTAATGTAGGTTTTACATCTACAGCTGTAACGCTGTAATCAGTTAGCACTAATACAAAATTGAAACCAAATGTACTAGCCAATTAACCACCTGCATCTTTATACTAGTCAAATTACACAGGCCTATAAACAGATTGTTTACATAAAGTTACATCAAATACTACTTACGGTATGCTGTCGTGGATGTGATGGCAACTATATGTGCTTTAAGTATATGTAAGCTGTGCTTTAATGTAGCAGTTGGAGTAGTTTTGAAGTTGCAGTTTATTTTTCACAGTTATGGGGTGATCCTTTAAATACATGTGCATTGTATGTGTTAAAATCTGAACTTGAAGGTAATAAATGTAGTGAGGTAAAACAATGTGTATATCTGTGCTTGGCTTAACAAGTTAGGAATTTAAAGACAGCATAGCAAAAGGGAATGTAATGTGTGGAAAAAAGGCACTTGAAAGGAGACTGTTCATCTGTGACAACCATGCTCTCAGGCAGGTTTTTAGACAATAAAACAAACACTACACTGAGCGCGCTGCACACAATTTCTCACGTGCTCAGTAACAGCTCTTTCCTGTGTGGGCAACAGTTGCAGGCAAGTATTTTTCCACAGCTTTGAAATATTTAAAGTAACTTTTTGACAAACCACAATAAATGTAGGAACGTTTTCACATATCAAATTGTGGCGAGACACAAAAAATATAAGGTTATTTTGCATCCAATGCATTTCTTCTTCTTGTTTTTTGTTACCTAATTGATTAGAGACTAATCAATCATCCCTCTGGAGTGGTTCAAAGTGTACTAACTTGTAACACATGAAGTGTGAAGCTGGTGCTCTTTTAATCCACAAATCATACTGTCTGAGCTCCTCTAATGCAGAGCAGAAAACAGCTGGAGAGATTAAAAACTATGACCTATATTTTCACAAACATGAAAATAAAAGAAGTACTTCAAAGAAAACAACGTGATGCTGAAATGTATTTTGCTGCCTTTCAGCTCATTTCGATTAGTCATGTCACTGTTGTCTTCTAGTGTCAGATGTTGTGGTGGTTATGCCTTTTGCACAGCAAGGTAAGCGCAATAATGGTTTTTAATGTGGCACAAGTCCTAAATGAACCACATAATCACTTCGTGGCTGACTTCAGCCAACCTCCCATGATTTAATGAGCCTCTTTAAAATGGCCTTCTAGTCTGTATACAGTTCTGCTGTATTTTTATCTCTCCATCAACAAAACAATGCACAGTGCAGCAGTGCATTGTTTCTGAGAACAAGTCTGGCCTGTTGCATACTGTGGGTTCTCAACACCAACAGGTGTGACATATCTGAAAACAAAGCAGGATGCGTGAATGCTGCTAGGCGAGTGACCTGTGCCAACCACAGATCTGACTGTTTACATGCATGTAAAAAAAAAGATTAAATGAAAAATCTTAAATCATTTGAGCATCAAATCATTATAGACCTCATGTTGAACCATTAAAAAGAGATGTTCGTTTTATGGTCCATGGTTATCAGCTCAGTTTCACCTCACCCAAATGAAACCAGTGAGGGAGTCTTACAGTGTCCACATGGGGGTTGTGGCCGTGTGAAAATGTATGAAGATTTTAATGTGTGAAACAGGCAAGACACTTGTGCCCTGTAAGAAAAGACAGCTGAAACAAATTGATTAAGAGAACAACTTTTAATGTTTTTTTAGCAGTTTAAAAAAATAGTCCAACTTTTATTACAGTGGAGATAGACAGTGACCCACATAGCATTGCTTATTGCTCTGACCCACTAAGTCACTCAGGAAAGGATTAAGAGGGTGTGGGTGTGTTTCGCCCTGCTTCCCGCATCTATTCATTAAGAAAAACAAAAAAATACAAGAAAATCCATGACCATAATCACCAGTCATGTATTTGGGATCATAATGAATGAGAGCAAGTCAAACTCTAATCAAGTGTGCGTGATTTTGATAGATTCTGTTTGGGTAAATAAACAAATGACATTGCATTCAGATTAATGTAATTTCATTTTTTTCATTGTACTTGATTAAACAGAAAGTGAAAGTGACGGGAGGGGTGCTTCAGGCCTAGCACAAATCCTCTCTGCAACAGGTTGTGAAATAGTCCTCAGCACAGAACTCCTCACATGATCGAGAAATTCTGTCACCTGTTTAAAAAGAAAAAAAAAATACAATCACTAAACCATCTCAAAAACACACCATTGTTGGAATTGTATTATTTTACAAGATATAAGAGCGCACATATTAGATCATGAACATGAGAACAAACAAAATGAAAGTAGAAAACAAATCCTACGCACCTTTCTGGGTGGTTTTACAGTACTGCGCTGACAGTGGACAAACTGTCTTTGTCTTACAGCTTGTGTCATTTTCATCCACACAGATGTAGCAATTGAGAGTGAGCACTAATTAAAAAAAGGACAAAATCCATCAAAACATGTTACAATACTAAGACAACAGCCTTCATCTCAGTCAGGAAGTCCAGGTGTAATCAAATGATTCCCTCAGATCAAACCTATTTTCTAGCCCAATCAGAAGTTTGCTTTTAAAATGGAATATAAGCTAGAATGACATGGCCTCACCTTGGGTGCTACACAGCAGCACGAAGAGCAGCGTAAGCAGCAGGACCTTCATGTTGTCAGATGGTATGTGGCTAATCCTCCCGCTCAGGTACTTTTATACTAAAACACCACATACCAAACTACAACTGAGTCATGCACTTCCTTGTGATAAATGTGCCAGTAAATTATGTCTAATGTTTTTGCTTCAACTCTTTTGTCTCAAAGAAGAAGAAAGCGAAAGACTTTTTACAGTAACAGATTAACATGGATTTTTTTTGTTTTTTTTGCAGAGTGTATAAGAGCTCCTAAAGTCTAGTTCAACCTGCTACTATGAATTATTATCAGTGTTGCTATATTTACCTTTGGATTTCTCTGATGAGATCTGTGATTAGTTTTGATCTATCTATTTGTATTTCAAAACACATAACCCACATTGAGAGAACACCTTTTCAGTTTTGTCCTTGTTTTCTTACCACCCAGTGTTCAAGGTTACTCTGCAGTGCATTCATACTATGAAATGAGAGCACACTATTTGGGGGTCATTTTCTAAAGATTATTTTTAAAATCAATTTCTTGACTGGACTTTTTATCGTTCAGCTTTCAGCCTGTTCAGTTTAATCATGTTAACTGCTTTGTAAGGCTTTTTGAACGGTTAACACAAGAGTGATGTGAGCTAAATGCGAGTCAACATACAATAAACAACATTTATGATATGTAACAGACAATAGGCTGCACAAACGATTGACACAGCAACAGAAGCATCACCAGTCTGTTTGTGGACTATAGTTCTAAAGCACTTAGTTTGGCATTTCAGGTGTTCCCATATGAACATAAGCCAAATGTGACCATATTTGGGGAGTTGCGTCTCAGTAGGAATTCACCAAGCAGCAAACTTTACGGCTAAATAAAAAAAAGTTTTTTACAACATTAAAAACATATATTAACAGGATGATCTATCTGACTCTCTTTGAGCAGGGCTGGACTGGGACAAAAAAAGGTTGGTTTTAATCAGTTGGTACAGCTTACTTTCGATGCACTGAAGCATGTGACAATTAAAAGTCACACTTAAGCTCAGGTGTGGGGGGCCTCAAGGGCTGGTTTCCTGCAGGTTTTATATGTATCCTTGATCCAACACGCTGATTTATATGGCTAAATTATGGCTCAACATATCTTGAAGTTCTCCAGCGGCCTGGTAGTGAACTAATCGTTTGATTCAGGTGTGTTGACCCAGGGTGATATCTAAAACCTGCAGGACACTGGCCTAAGGGCCTGGAGTTCTTCACCCCTACTTTAGCTATTAGAAGTGGACAAAACTCATTTGCTAGAAATTGTACTTTTTTCCATCTTTTGCTCAAATACAAATCCTCCCCGCAAAACCGTCCTGGAGGGGGGAGAATGACTGAAGATTTCATCGTTAATATGTAATTAGGAGTTAATGATTTCGGATCCGAAGGATCATTAAGATACTCCACACTTAACGGTCTGCTGTTAATGATGCCATTGTCTGTTCTTAGACTAGTTGTATCAAGCCTATTTGAGGACTTGTCTAGCATTGTTGTTAGTATGCTTCATACTGTCCAAATTTGGCGTTCCCAGATACCTCCCATATGGCTAGCTGATGGAAAATTCATTACAAATTTTCATAGCTGTGCGTTTCCATCTTGTCGTCAACCAACAAGAGTTTCTGAATTTCCATACAGTCATTAAGAACCTCTAATGATTTTATTTGTGGCATCACAGCTGCACAGTCAGCAAACTTTCTCAACTCACTTCCATCCTTGGAGCTTATTTAAGGCTAACTGTGAAGTTTGTCTCTAAAGCATTTTCTGTAGTGAAAAGATCTCCAAATAGCTTTTCCAGCACTTCCCAAGCTGAGTTGTATGCTTCATCTCTGCCCACTAGGAGAAATCCTTCAACCGCTCTCTTTGTGGGTCTACCGAGTTACTTCCTGAGATAATAGTCTTTCATTCTTTGAAATGTTTTTTCTTTCAATCATGGTTTCAAATGACAACTGCCAGACTTTTAACTTTAGAGGGTCATCAGTTTGACCTGAACCACTTTTAGACCTTCTTGATTTTGACCTTGATTTGGTACTTTGAGATCCGAACCACGACCCAACATCTGGCCATGGCTCTTAATCACTATCTGCAAAGTCTCCTTGTAGCTGTTTTTCAGCTCTTTTAACAATGAATGAGGAAAGTGAAGTACATACATCTACTTTGCGCTTTGCGTCTGAATCTGCAGTTTGTATTTGGTGTATCCATCAATCCATCTTCTTCCGCTCTATCCGGGGGGCAGCATCCTAAGCAGAGAAGCCCAGACCACCCTCTCCCCAGCCACCTCCTCTAGCTTATCCGGGGGAACACCAAGGCATTCCCAGGCCAGCCGAAAGATATAATCTCTCCAGCGTGTCCTTTGGCGTATTTGTTCATAAATGGTTTGTACATCTCTGCAGGTGACATTATGTTGTTAATCACCTCATTCAATTCGCGCTCTGAAAGTTTCTCCTCTTGATCTCTTTACCCTTTTCAGTGTTCTTACTCTTTCACTTTTACAAACAGTCTGTAGTTAGAATAGAAGAATGGAAGAATGCAGTCTATGATGCTGTTGAGGTCATCCTCCAGGGGGCTGCAGAGGTTGTCCCACACAGTAGAACGGAAACAGTCCTTCAGGCCCTCTTCAGTCTCTGCCGACCATTTCCTTACTGTGCGTTTCACAGCTGGTTCTCTGTGTACTTGAGAATATTACACAGGCTGGAGATGAACCAGGTTGTGATCTGAGCCCCCCAGGGGAGGGAGAGGTGATGAGCTGTATGCCTCCTTGGTGTTGGCATACAATAAGTCCAATGTTTTATTGTCTCTGGTGTGGATGAAGGTGGGGAGAGTGGAGGACAGGGAGATGTGATTAAAGTCCCCAGAGATCAGGAAAAGGGCCTGAGGGTGCTGTGTTTGGAGTCTGCTGGTTACAGTGTGCAGGACCTCACAGGCTGCTGCAGCGTTAGCAGAGGGCAGGACATACACAGCTATCATAATCACGTGTGTAAACTCTCGCGGTACTCTCTAGCAGCTCAATGTCCTTACAGCATAGCGTCTCTTTGATAGATAAATGCCCAGAGTTACACCATCTATCGTTCACAAACACAGCCAGACCCCCTCCTCTCTTCTTTCCACTCTCCATTGTTCTGTCAGCCCGGATCTGATGAAAACCATCCATGTTTACGTGTGAGTCCGGAGTTAGCCACGACTCTGTGAAGCACATCAGGCTGCACTCCCTGTAGCTCCTCTGATGTTGGGTAAGAGCCGTTCGTCTACTTTATTGGGGAGAGATCTCACATTCCCCATAATAATAGATGGAATTGCTGGCCAGTACCTCCTAACTTTAGTGCGACGCCCGATCTTGGCCCGAGTACCGCGTCTCTTCCTCCTCACCTCGCGGGGGATGTTGGCTTGCTCGGCGGTAGGCAGGGCAGCGGAGGCCCAGAGGGCTAACAGCTGATCCCTGCTCTAAACAATAGGAGGTCGGACCTCCACGTGATCTCCGGACACAGATGCCGTAAAAAATGTAATAAAGAACACAATTGTCTATAAAATTCTGAGCTCCATTGTGGGGGATAGCAGTCCACAATAGAAAAACAAAAACAAGAAACACAAGAACAACAAAGAAGCATATATTAAAGAGAAAAAAGGACTCGGTCAGGTCGGAGCTGCTGATGCTGGCTGCCAGCTCGGAGCGGTGCCGGAAGTTATATTATATATAGTTCTGTAATCTGCTCAGCAGTAAGCAGTAAGTGGTACAGCATATTGCTCTTCATTATCATTGTCAGCCATCTTGTGAGTCTAGTTAAATGTCAGTCAATGCACTAAGTTTTGATTTCAAAATACTTCTTTAAATTTATTATAACTTATTATACGTAACTTGAGTATTACTTTGGGATTACTGTTATTATATACTTTAGCTATAACGACTTTCATTCTTAATATATGTGAACTTTAACTTGAAGAACTTTGTAAACTTCACATGTAGTTTTACCTTAAGCAAACACACAAAACACTTTCATAAACTACAAAGCATCACTTTAAAGTACAGTAGAAATTAAGTAACCTTTGACAGATGTGTTATAGAAATTCACTGTGGATATAAACCACTCTTACTCTACTTTTAACACTGCCCTTTGTTAATTTCCAATTTACTCCAGTTATATAATGTTGCTGCTATTGTGCTTGGCTGCTTGTGAGCGGTGAGCTTGTGTGATGGCGACCTCTTGTGTCGCACCACTGCACCGTCACTCACTGCTCTTCTTAATGAGCTTCTCACTGGCGCAGGCTGGGGCGAGTTTTCACTGCAACTCCGAAACAAAATCACAGGCACGGCTTCTTTTACTTATTGAACACCGTGAAAACTACAAACATAAAACACAAACGATTTAGGCTCTTTATTCAGTTGAAAGTAATACGTGTGCTTTAAGAAAATATTACCTCGTGGCTGCCTTTGGACGTTCTAGACAAATAATCTTATAGTCTTGTGCGTTCAAAATTAACATATAAAGTAATTTGAACACCATATATTACAAATTTGCAGACTATTACAACACAATTATAACAAATACCTTCTACAGCTAGTGGATGAACCGCAGGCCTCACAGCTTCTTATAATCACGCCCAAACCTCGCGATAATAGCGGGGCAACAAAAATTGTTCTTTGTGCCAAGATAAACGCATATCATAAACAAGAAAAAACAGCAATTTACAAACAAAAATATTTTAACTGCTGGAACCTAAATATTAATCGCTTTTATACAAAAGCCATTTGAGTGACAATTACATTAATAATTAATTAAACATGTTATTAAAAGAGGCTGACAGTATTACATAAGTCACAAAACTGAATAAAATTCTGTTCAACAGGGAACCTATTTTTGTGTCTTTGTCCTTCTCAACTTTATGAAGAACAAGTCTTACAGACAGCAGAGGGTTGAGGCCTTAGAATATAAGAACCAACACATGAGCATGAGATTTATTTTTTTCCTAAATAGAAAGCATAATTAAATTATTTATGTATATCAAAGAACGAGGCATAGGTAAC